TTCAAATAATTATATTAATTATATTATATATTTTTATATTTTAGCGTCTCGCTTCGCTCGAGCGAGCGCCTAGACGAGCGCCTAGCGCCTCGGGCGTTTTTGGACCTTGGCACCTTTTGGCGCCTAGCGCTTTTTAAATCACTGCATTCCGAATATAACATAAAAGTTATGTACAGGACTTAAATTGCTTTGATACTCCAACTAGCAACATATATGACACTAAACTGGACAATCAAAGTCAGGATTTTGTCCTAAAGTTAATTAGAACGAATATAAAGCTTACTTCCAACTTCCAAGTTCCCCATTAGTTGCAACTTGCAATTGCCTGACTGATCACAAAAAACATCAATCCTGATAAATTTAGACAAATAAGGTGTGGATGACATACAATGACAGAATAGACATTTTTAGGAAGTGTTACAGGTTCTCCCTGATCTGGAGAGGACTGATTCATAGTTTGGAGGGTTCTAAGATTGGTACACCTTTTATGCTGCTAGTGGCAAATGTCTCGAGGTCCAGCATCACAGATTGGTTAAGGATAAGCCATTAGTATCATCTGGTAGTTAACATGTGCACCTGGTCATGTGTTCACAAATAATATGTTGGAAAATTACCAAAGACTAGATTGGATAATTGATATACTGAAGACATGAAGATACTCCGAATTGAGATTTGACAAAATTGGTGAACTGTCATCTTTATACAAACTATTAAACTGATGGAGGTACAAGTTTGATAGCAGACAGGATTTGGAAAGTCACCATAAGAGAGAAGATATTCCTGTGGCTAATCCTCCCTCCCTCCCTCTGGTGCTCACCTTCCTCACAACCCCTTGCGATTCACACCTCCCATATGACGCCCGGCAACCCACTGCTTGTGCTGCCTGCTACCGGCCTGGGTACCCTTCCCCGCTCCTCTAACTCCTCTGCTTTGTTTTACTCCTCTCCTCTTCCTTCTACTCCTGTATGTCTCCTCCTCCTCCTCCTTCCTTATCGGTACCATGACACATACCATGTGTCAGTACACCACCGTACTTGTACTAGTCTGGTACCTGAGAATTAAACCTTGTCTTTACTATTTTTTTCAAAAATTTTTGATGGATTTTGACAGTTGTCTTTTATAAATTTATTTCTTTTTAATTCTTCCACAAACCTTCTCTCTATCTTTTGACTTAGATTCTCGCTCTTGCATTTCTCCTATTGTTGCTGTGTGCTGCCTGACCTCTGTCACTCGACTGCATCGCCACTACTATCACTGCTTCTTCTGCCACCTCTGGTACTCCTCTTCCTCCTCCTCCACTTCTCCTCTTCGTCTGCCTCATCCTTTGTTGCTCCTCTTTCTTCTTCATCTTTCCTCCCACTCTGTCAGTCTGCCTCTTCCTCCTTCCTCCTACCTCCACTCCATTTTTCTATTTGGTCCTCGTCCACTGGTTCACCAACATACCGTGTGACAATATACCAGTATACACTGGACCAATACAATTTTGTTGAAAACTAATGCAGACCAAATGGCTTAAAAAATTAAGCAATGTTTCACTCAGTAAGAAATGTCCAATATTTAGTTGATGAGAATAGTCACCAGCTCAAGTTTTGGAAAATAATGGCCACTGAAAAGAGGATTGAAAGTATGGATTCTGTGTTGAACCTTCTTTAGTTTTTGTCCTTTTCCTAGGGTCTGAATTTCAGATTGGAGGATTATCTCCTGGGTCTTTTTTTTCCCTTCTTTGGAAAATAATGGCTGCTGAAAAGAGGATTGAAAACAGTTATTGTTTTCTTCTCTTGCGTCTCACCCTCTGTTTCAGTTCCTCTATAATAACAAAGTTGACAGGTAAAACTGCATAACAAAAGCTCAACAGAACTGTTTGTCCAGTAGTAATCCATCAAAGGTTCTGTATCAACGATGCTACCTAAAAAGATAGTAACTCCTTTGATCACTTTATTTCCAAAACCTAACAAAAGAGAAAAGCAAACAATCTACTAAACATCATTTAATATCCTTGTGTATCACCTTAGTCTTTGACATTGATAAGCTTTGACGCTAATAGCAAAATTACCTAGCCAACTAACTACCAGACAATTATGTCAAAGTTATAGTAAGTATTCTAGGATTTTAGATAACCAACAAAAATCAAATAACAAGAATTTCCATCTACGATTTAAATAAATATTGCTTGACATGTTTTTCTTGCTTCATGAGTGTAGTTTGTGAAAGTGAAAACAAGTAAAAACGATAAATTGATGTATCAGAATTGGGATAAAAATAACATGGTACTCAGAAGTCATAAATGCCAAAATAAGGAGGATATGAAATTGCTAGATCTGTGCACAGATACCCTTCAACAGAGACATGAAGACAAAGTATTTCTATGCCCATTTATTGTGATAACAATAACTATGCATCAATTTGGCATTATGATTAACAGTAAAATTACTTCACAATTGCATTTATTTAGCAGTCATGAATATCAATAGTTATCATATTAGCTTAGTTTAAGTCAAAACTTCACATTTTCCCTTACTTGTCAACAATCGAGCAAATTTTGGCAGTTAGATCACCCTTGAAATCTTGATCACTAACTTCTAGATAATCAATAAGTTCCTTTGTCAAAGGCTTCACATTTGTCTCATTGACTAAAAGAAAAACAAGATCTAGGGCCCTCTTCTGAATGGAGGCATCAGAGTCCTGACAATATGTCAATACATCAGATATGATGGTTCTCAATAGGCATCAGAATACAGCATACTATAAAAAGTGATCAGAAAAATTTATAACATGAAGCCTTAATTCATCCGTGCTAAAAACAACAAGGATATGATGCACAAGTAATGCTCAAGCTACTGAAGAATGAAAAGAAATAACTGCAAACTATACCATTTATTATCATAAAAAATGGTAAAGAATACAAATGGAAGATGGACAAGAAAAAAATTAGTACCTTCTCTTGGGATAAAATACATGATATAAGTTTGTGACACAACCACTAAGCTATGTTCGAGAGAAAGGAGAACAATAACAAAGAGAGAGAAGCTGAAAAAAATTTCCACAAGCAATAAATTTTCCAAACTCTGCTTCTTCCACAGAAAGATTTTCTTTAATAGATGGCACTGTAATAAATATAAAAATGAAATTTAAAGTCTGAGTATGAATTTATTTAGCATCCAAAAGAAATTTTCAAAAATTCTACAGCTCTTGAGTTGTATTAAGGTTTTGATCTCGTAATGTATTGACATATCGAGCTTTACTCGGTATGGTGTGGTATGGCATATCATACCATATGGACAGGTATGTACCGCTCGTACCAGGTGGTATGGTACGGTATTCAAATCCTTGGAATTTAGCATTTAACAATGGATTAAGTCCAAATCAGCAAAAACTTTATCAGCCACAGTGACTTATATTCTTTAGGAACTTTAGGTTTTTGTTTCACAAGGCTTGCAATTTCATCAGGACCAGTCTATATTGGCCAGGATTACCAGTCCATGCATGAACCAGTATGCAGATGGCCCCAATTTTAGTTGGTTAGGTCGGATCTAATTTAAAAAAATAAACCTTTAAATTAAATTCACGGAGGAGATGATGAGGTGGAATAGGAGGAAGAAGAGGAGGTAGGAGGAGGAGGCGACAGCAATATGGAGCAGGAAAGAGATGGCAGCACCATGGCAGTGATGAGGAAGCATGGCACAGGGAAGAGGAGGCAAAGTAGGGGAAATGAGAAAGAGAAAGAGACAGAATCAGAGAGAAAAAGTTCTAGAAAGAGAGAGGGAGAAGAGAAAACAAAATTATAGAGACAGGAAGATGAAGAAATGGAAGGGAGAGAGAAGGAAAAACTGGATTGAAAACTATGACAACTGTCATAAATTATTAAAAAATTATATCAGTACTAGGCCATAGGCTGACCACCATGGTAGCTGTCTCTTCCGCTGCCCAGTAAGCCTCTCACCAGGTGATACAGCTTATCCAGGACAGAAGCTTGAGAAATTGCACAGTCCACATGCTGGTTCCCTGTCCACTAAAATGGAACCCTAGCAATACGGTCAATATTTGAAACCTTGACTATGGGTGCTTCTCTCATTGGTTTTTCAACCTTAAATTTCACTCATGTCACAGATTTATTGATTCTTTTGTAAATTTATAAATATCCTTTAAATAAGAGAGAGAGAGAGACGGATGAGATGAGAAGAGAAACAACAATATGTAAATGAAAACATATAGCAATGCTGATACCAACTATTTAGGATTAGAAAACCCTTCCCTTCAAATCAATAAAAAGAAAATCCATACCAACCAATCCTGAAAATCTATATCCAGAAAATTGAAAAATGTCACTTGTCATGCCATGGATAGAAACTTAAAGAGGAAAGAGGTAGTAAAAAAAACATATTAAGATTAGATGGCGAATTTTAAAGACAACACATGGAATTTCAGATAGAATGGAAAAAGAGTTGGCCATGTGGACTATGATGATCACTAAGATTGACATGACAAAGGAGATTCTCAAGGAATCTAAAGGAAAAGATACAACTATAGTAGTAAGTTGATAGTGGTGCGAGGAAGTTCAAAAAGCAAATGCAGTTAAAAGATGACCTTTTTAGATTGGCTAAATTGTAATAGTGAAAAGAACTTTATAAGATATATAGCTGCTAAAAAAGAGACAAGATCCAAAGATTAGGTACTACGGATAGTGAAAAAGATATATTTTGAATTTGCTAAATCTAGGGAAAGAAAGATAGGGATTTATGTAATATTAGAAATATTAAGGAATAATATCAAAATATACCTATTAACAATAAGGAGATTAAGGAAAGATGAACTGGTTATTTCTATAAATTATTTAGTTTCTAAAAAAACATGGATTTAAATAATAGAAGAAGGTTTAGTAATCATAGATTTGTTCCTAAATTTAAAGCATATAAAGTGAAAGAAGTTGTCAAAAAGATAAAGATAGATAAGAGCATGGGACCAGTTTAGAAGAGTTTAGGTCATCAAGAGATATTTTGGTTGACTAGTTTATTTAACAAAATTTTGAGATTTAGAATGATGCCTAATGAATGAATCATAGTCTTCTAGTACCAATCTATAAGAAGAGAAATATGAAAAACTAATTTTAGCGGAATTATGATAATGAATTATCAAATTAGCAATTAAAGTTTAAATAAGTGAAACATATATATTCCAAATTTGATTTGGTTTTATGCATAAATATCAATAACAGAAGCCATTAATTTATCAAGATAATTAATGAAAATATATAAATATATAAATCAATATTTTCATAGTGTTCTCATTGATTCAAAAAAGCCTATGTCCCTAAGATGTATTGTGGCATATTTTAGAAAAGAAAGATGTCTACTAATTATATTGATATTATAAAATATACATATGATAGTGTAGTAACAAGTGTTAGAAATATAAGAAATGAGAATACCTCTCATGTTTTCTATTAGTTAGAAATGCATCAAAGATCAACTTCAAATTCTTATCTTTTTACATTGGTAATAGATAAACTTACTTATATGTACAGCATGCATCTCCATGTTGCATTATTATTTTGTTAATGACAGTATATTTAGCTGATAAAAGTTTAAATAGAATTAATTCTAAACTTGAGATGTGGAGATTAAGCTTATAAATTAAAGGTCTTAAATTAAAAAAGATCAAAAGTGAATATATGAAATGTAATACTAAGAAAATAACTATGGATACAATTAAATTGGAAGGACAAGAATTTCTAACAAGTAAAAAAAATGTTACATATCTTAGATCGTATACAACAAGATAGAGAGATTGTTAAAGATAGAAAATTCAACTTCATGTACATCAATCTCTACCAACTAATATATATTGGTTTGGGCATGAACTAGGATACAGACTGCCCTATTTCACGCAATTTGATATAGTTTTTTATTTTTATTACGCGCTACTTTGTTTTATTATGCCCCATCACCCAATGTGCTATGTCTCCTCTTTGTTGTCTGTCACTAAATTATTATCACTCACTTCATCTCTGATACATCTCCTCCTCTTATTCTCTTCTCCCTTCTTATCCTCTCTATAATAAGGATAAGGCCCATCTTGGTCCAACCATGGACCGATATGGGCCAATACCCAAAACTTAAAATTTTGGTTAAATAATATTTTTTATCAAGGTTTGCAAGTAGTCAAGTATGGTATGTTGTGATGGTATTTATCAATCCAATAGCTTTTTGGTACATAAACCAAGGTATACCGAATTGTATGCTCGATATAGGGCTTATAGTGCTTGATATGCTAGGTAAATGGCCTATACCACTCGAGATAGAACTTGTGTCACCCCATATAAGATGATGTATCAGGTATTTTTTTAGTTTTTCCAATTTTTTCATACTTTATTTGGACCTCAATATAAGGTACCAACACTCTACATTGATGTAGACCAATATGGTACCAATCTGTGCTTGATTGCTATAGTACTTGAGACCATGATTGTTATACTTATTGTTCGTAGAGTAAAAATTGGATGGTTAAAATGAAGAGGACCATCAAGAGTAGTAATCACTATGCATCCTTTAAATTAAAAGAAAATTCTAAAAGTAAGTTGTTAAGTCAATAATACTCTATGGATCTAAGCAATGATAAATTAGTTGCTAGGCTAAGAAGGACATGAAAGCACTCTTCCTCATCTACCAAGGACTAGATGAAGGCAATCTTAAGAAAGTTGCAGTCGCCAACACCTCCAAATATGCTTGAGATATTATTCAAAACTCTTTCAAAGGAGTTGAGAAGGTGAAAAAAATTCGACTTCAATCACTTTAGAGCCAATTTTGAAACTTTACAAATGAATGAGTCCGAGACTACTTCAGATTATTTTACAGAAGTTCTTACCATTGACAATCAATTAAGAAGAAATGATAAGAATCTAGAAGATGTTCGGGTGGTCGAAAAAGTACTTCGATCAATACATGAGAAGTTTAACTTTATTGTGGTCTTTATGCAAGAATCAAAGGATTTAGACCAAATGATTCAATATAAGCTAATGGGTTCTTCACAAGCACATGAACATTTAGTCAATAAAAAGAAACTAGATACGGTGGAGCAAGTCCTCCAAACAAAGTTCACTTTAAAAGAAAGAAATGAAAGCTCAAGTGATTGTGGTCATGGAAGAGGTCGAAGATGTGGAAGAGACCGTGGTTGTGGTGGAGGACATGGCTAAGGAGGAAGAGGAAGAAACAATAAGAAAGACCAAAGTCCAAAACAAGAACAAGAAAGAGGAAATACAAAATGCCAAAAGTATAATCATTCTAAAATTCAATGTTATTGTTGCAAAAAATGTGATCATTATGCTTCTGAATGTTATTACAACAAAACAATTAAGTTGAGGAATATATTAACTATGCTAAAAACAAAGAAGAAGACTCTCTTTTATTGCTAGCACATAAAGAAGAAGATATAGACATGCAAGACAAGTGGTACATGGACACTGGAGCTAGCAATCATGTGTGATTACAAAAACCTGTTCATGAAGTTGGAAGAAACAGTGAATGGATAAGTCTACTTTCGAGACTCAAAGTACCGATGAGAGGCAAAGGCAACATCTTGATCTACCTCAAAGATGGAAATCATTAATTTATTTCAAATGTTTAATATGTGCTAGATATGAAGAATAAGATTTTGTCTTGGACAACTCTTAGAATATGTTATGATAT